CCCCCTCCCCCCACTCCTCTCTCCCTCCCTCTCCAGTCCAAAGAGCAGTCAGGGTTCCCTGCCTTGTGGAAAGTCCAAGGTCCTCCCCACTCCATCCATGTCTAGAAAGGTGAACATCCAAACTGGCTAGGCTCCCACCAAGCCGGAATATGAAGTAGGATCAAAACCCCGTGCCATTGTCCTTGGCTTCTCTTCAGCCCTCATTGTTCGCCATGATCAGAGAGTCTGGTTTTATCCCATGCTTTTTCAGTCACAGTCCAGCAGACCTTGATGAGCTCCCAATAGATCAGCCCCACTGTCTCAGTGGGTGGGTGCCCCCCTCGTCGTCCTGACATTCTTGCTCTTGTTCTCCCTTCATCCGCTCCTCATTGGGACCTTGGGAGCTCAGTCCAGTGCTTGGGGGTGGGGTGGGTTGGAGATAAGGGGGGACGGGAAGAGAAAAGTGAGAAGGGGAGGATTGGGGGAACTTGGGGAAACAGGAAAATTGGGCTAAAGGAAGGTTGGATAGGGGAGCAGGGAAGCACATATCTTAGTTAAGGTTGCCACCTTAGGGTTGGCAAGGGACATGAACTTAGAGTGGCTCCCAGGAGCCCAGGGCGATGTCCCCAGTTAGTCTCTTGGGAAGCTGAGGATAGGGAACCTGAAATGACCCTATCCTATAGCAATACTGACAAATATCTTCCATATCACCATAGAACCGTCATCTGGTGATGGATAGAGTTAATATTTATTTATTATCTTTAATTATTTAATCTATATCCGTCTTGTTTGTTATAACTATCTGTATTATTTTTCCTCTCTCTCTCAAGCTTACTTACATTTTTTATATAGACTATGTATCATTTAGAGGTCTTTTATATCTGAATCTGTCCTATAGTATATCTGAAATCCTATTCTGACCAGGAAAATTTTTTTAAAAATTGTAAGTGATGTGATTGCTGTAGCCCTGGGTCCTGGCTCCAACTCTCCCAACCCTTCAATATGGCTGCAACGCATTATTGCTAGCTCTGTGAACCATGTTCACTGCCCCAGCTCCAGAGGTGCAGAGGTTCTGTGTTGTCACCCTTAAGCAACCTGCTGCATGCTGTTCACAAACCCCATTTAAGTGTTCCATAACAGGAACTCCCAATGACTCAGAGCCATTTGTGCCACAAGCATGAAGCAAGAATATGTCTCTTAAAGAAGCTGCACAAATTTTGCTGCTAGTGCTGAGTCAGGAAGCCTTCTTTTAAAAGAAGTCACAACTCTGCTTGCTGCCAGGAATGAGAACTTATTTGAAAATGTGCAGCTACCAAGAAGCTGCAAATGACTCCTGCTTTTGTGGGTCTACAAATGCTTTATTTTTAAACTTTGATAGGCTTTATGTGGATGTACATTGCTTAGCATTTGGTGGCATTATGTAATTGGAGACTGCAAGTTTATTTCCTGGCCACCCAGACCAAAATAATCACATAGAACCGGTATTAATTACAGTACTGGCCAATGGCTTAGGCATATTCCTAACTACTTCTTACATCTTAAATTAACCTGTTTCTTGTAATCTCTGTGTCACTATGAAACTGGGGACTACTGGTAAGGTCCCAGTGTCTGTCTTCTTCAGCATCTACATGTTGTCTTCCTGACTCTGCCTTCTTTCCTCATCTCTCTCCACTTGGACTTCCTGCTTTGTTATATTCTGCCCTGCAATAGTTCAAATCCACTTCTTTACTAGCCAATGGTAGTAAAAGTTATTTACAGCATACACAGGGGAATCACACATAAAAAGATTTTCTGGCATCTAAATTGATAATCATGTGATTTCTATCATTGAGTCCATCTGTGTAATACATTACATTTACTGGTGGTTTTATGTGGAATGATTCCATCATCTTTGGAATGAATGTGATTGCTGTTTCATGTTCAATGAACATCAGTTTATTGTAATGAACTCACAAATAAAATCATTCAAAACAAAAACTGAAATGGCTTATTATAGCCACACTTACCCAGGTCTAAATTCTGTACATTTCACTCAATTGTGAAAGAGACAGTATAGCCATGCTGAGGACATGCAGCATTGCTTAGGGCCTCACATTGTCACTAGCATATATATTATAGCATATGCACAAAAAATTAATGAAGGAAATGAGTAGAAAACAGAAAAAATAATTAACTTTATAGACTCTTTTATAACTCATGGATCATTTCACCAGGTTCACTTAATACACTCATTCTAGGTCTCCTCCTTTCGTTAATGCTACACTGAAGTGATACCCATTTGCTTATATACCAGTAGACATTATTGGATAGAATCTGAATATTATCGAAAGAATGTGATTTTTTATTTTTATTCTGAGATGTGTGAGCTGATTTAATGCTAAACCTAATAAATCTATCAATTTTCTACATAATTTATGATGCCCTCTTTCTCTTTCATCAAATGATATGCCATTTTGCATATAAACACAAATTTAATTATCAATTTATCTGTTTATAGACATTTAAGTGTCCCCATTTCCTTGTTATACTAAATAGAACAACAAAAATGGATATGAAAAAGTCAGTATGATATGGAGTTCTCAGAGTATATGCCTATGAGTGGTATGATTAGGTCAAACAGTAGTTCTATTTTCAATTTTACCTAGAAATCACAAAACTGATATATAGTGGCTGTATTAAATTCTTTCAAACTCACTTGTTTACACCAGTATTATGCTGCTACCAAACCAGATGAAGATAGAATAACAGCAAAGGAAGTGTACAAGTCAATATCCCCGATGATGCTAAAATTCTCAATAAAATAATAGCAAACATAATTCAAAATTACATCAAAACCATATGTTAATTTGAACAGATTGTCATATGCGGTAAAAGATATTAATTATATTTTTATTGGGGCAGGTTATAACAGTAGTGTTTGGAACTTGAGGCCCTTCCACAAGTTCATGGCCAAGTACTATCTCAGTATTCATGTAGTTAAAACATACTACTCAGAGCTGTATGTGAAATTACTAAGCAGCCAAGATCTCCTGAAAAAATAAAAGCTACAAGAAGAACATTTTTATTGACAGATTTTTGTTGACTTTGTTGCACATCAAGACGTCCAAGCTTTCACAGCTTCAAGTTGAAGAGTACAATGGGACTCACACAATAAGATTGGATCATGTAGGCTGTTGATTCAACCAGCAGACAAAACTCACATATTCATTTACCAAATCTTAAGAAGAGAAGGTACAATCTACTTTACATTCTGTATTGATTGACCTTTTGAGTGTGACGCATGAGTAAACAACTGGATACCAATCAAAACACAACAATTTAAATGTTAAAATGAGATTGAATAATTTTTATCCTTTATTCAGCCCAAACAAAGCTTGGATAAAATAGAGGAATGATAGATAAGGATAATGGGTACAAATGATGGGAAACAGAGGGAAACAAAGTCATTAATGTTCTTGAGCCACCAATTTTGATTATACAAAACAGCAGTGTAGCCTCTGAAGATGGAGGAGAATGTATAAAAAATCAGAAAGGTTGACAGTAAGATCAGAATGTTCTGGGTGGCTCTGGACTCAGGGAAGGTTCTGCAAGAACTATGAATATATTGAACCCTCTGTTTGTGTTTATACAGAATGAGAACCATGGATCCACTAGACCAGACCATAAACACAGAAAAGATGACTTCAGGGCACACGACAAATGCTGCATAGAGCGAACCACCAATTTCACTCAAACCTACAGCGCGGCAGTATCCCAAATCCCATTTTCTTGTCACATTGTTGCTTTTCCTGTTGACAAGCGTGTATGCAAAATGAATGGAATTTACCGACATGTACAGTATCCAGAGGAGAGAAATGTGGCAGCCAATGCTCTTTTCAACTTTGATTTTATAATCCTTCCAACAGGAATTCCTGGGACTAATGGTCAAGGCCTGAAAGACACTCAAGAGGCAGGTGGTCCCAATGGAAACACTCCTAGAAAACCCTTGAAAGTACAATAGCAGCTTGCATCCAACATCATTCAAAAAATGTTTGAATCCCCAAAGTGCTACTGTTTGGGGCACTCCTGCTGAGAGAATGATCAAGGCATTGGCTGCCATTAGGTGCACAAGAATCCAATCTGTGTGCTTTAATGTGCATTTTTTGTAGTAAAGGAGCAGGTAGTAGAAAATTAGAGAGAAATTTCCAAGAATTCCAGTTGTAGTTTGTGATAAAAAAATAATTCTGATTGCCAGGTTCCAGAATCCCATTCTGTGATTTGAATAAGTTTCCTTTGGAATATGTATCTGTTATTCTTCTGGTCAAATAAATACAAATATTTATAGTCTAAGGAAGAGGAAGAAGTCTTTATTACATGGAGGACTGAGGGACTGAAACAAAGTATCTTTAAGCTCATTTATCCAAGGTCAGCCATGACCACTTAAAAAGACCTAATTCACTAATGTTTTACAGGTGTAGTTACTTTCTATGTGTTACTGTGAACATGCACAATACATCAGAATGTACATAATGATGAATGGACAGCTGTCAAGTTTCATAGAAAATAAATCATTCAGAGAGATGTGATATTGTTTCATGAGAAACAATCAAAATTGGAAGCCCATATAAATAAATATGATATAAGACTTTAAGGATATATTGATATTTTCGAGTAATGTAAAAGAAAACAACTTCAATAAAGCTGAAAAATAAATATGCCAATGTTGTATGTATATGTCATCTAAAAGTAAAATATGTGTAATGAGAAATTTCTGCTATTGCTCAGACTATGGCTATGGTATTGTGACATGGCAGAGTTCTTCACCTTAACTCCAATGGGGCCACATTTTGTTTAACCTAAACGAATTTGACCTTTTCTAATCCCTCCAAGAAAATTCCCTAGAAAAAGCAGTGAACCCAATTCGATAAACTGAGGACTGAAATGTCCCATACCAATGCATGTTTTTAGCTTCTTTTAAACTACTTAGTTGCTTTATTCTCTGCCCACCTCTGCCAATTGCCAACCAGTATATGCTTGTTCTGCTATTTTTTTTTCCTCAAAAAGATCCCTGTAGCAGGGCGGTGGTGGCGCACGCCTTTAATCCCAGCTCTCGGGAGGCAGAGGCAGGCGGATCTCTGGGAGTTCGAGGCCAGCCTGGTCTACAAGAGCTAGTTCCGGGACAGGCACCAAAGCTACAGAGAAACCCTGTCTCGAACCCCCCCCAAATAAAAAGATCCCTGTAGAATGTATTCCAGGCTGCACTGTGAGAAGAGTTTCTCTCCATACTCCATATAACAACAAAGTCAACTTAATACAGACTCTCAATTTGGACTTTCATTGTGCTGAATGATCTTTTTGTCTTTATGTTATGAAAGTCTTACGTAAGGATAAATTAATTTTAGCACAAAATCTATTAGAATTATACTTTATTTGACAACTTTCATCATGTTAAAGTAGACCCTTACAAATATCATACCATATAGATACACATGTGTGCACATGCATATCAGGGCTGTTAGAAAGGATGGAATGTGCAGTATGATGAAATGTCAAAGGTTTCAAAACAGCATAAAACAAAGAAAAAATGCTACCATAAATGGCAAGAGTAAGGACAATATGTGATAATTGACATCTACTGGAGAAATGATCCATGTCTCTATTGAAACTATGTCTGTGATAATAATATACTACTTCATTGGTTTAGAAAGAAAATGATAGGAGAAAAAGCAGTTGGTTACATAGTACATTAGTGCAGTATTGTCAGAATAAAATCTCAACACACCATACTCTGTTCCTGAAAGGGAAGGTGTCTGAAGTCTTCTTAAGTAGGTGAAATACCCTGGAAGTAAGCAGAGGTAACTGTGTATCAGTACCAGATTGAAAACTGCTGTCCAAGAAAGGAACCATTGTTCCACACAATCAAGAACTGAAACAAAACGGATATTAATGGTGGGATACGAAAAAGTTAAAACAAAGTAGAGACAAGGGTTGAGACCATAGGATCTAGCAGATACTAGCAGTATCTTATTCTCCATGCACTGGCATTGTATAACAGCCTAGGGAGTGGCTACAGCAGAATGTAGAAAGTATTTTATTAAGTGATGTAAGTCAGGCCCCCCAAAATCTTTAGCATATATTCTGTCTCAATGTGCTTTCATTACTTATAGATGTTATAAAATGTGTCTATATTGGATGAATGTTAATAGAGGAAACTAGAATGGGCCCATGAGGGAGGAAAAAGAAACTCTATAAGTGAGTCTGTAGAAAGAAAGAAAAAAACAGATGATATGATAATTAAAAGAAAATTATGTGCATACAAAAGAAAAGCTGGATGGATAGGAATGAATGGGTCAACCAAAATACTAAGTATGAAAAGACTTTAAAAAAAACCAGCTACAATTAAGCTAAATAAAAACAAAAGAAAATAAAAATGAACAAACAAATGAAGATAAAAAGGAAAAAATTCAAAACTTGGACTTGCTTATACATAGACCAAGAAACTTAGATCAGGGCCATGTTCCTATAACCACCAACACTTTTTTACAACTTCTTGCCTCTGCTTAAATAGTAGAAATATAACCTACATGCTAATAACTCCAGTCCTAAGAATAACTTCTTTCTCACTTATGATTTCTATTGCTCTGAAAAGACACCATGAGAGCAGTATCTCTTTAAAAATATTTAATTGAGGTTTGCTTGCAGTTTCAGAGATTTAGTTCATTATTTTCCTAGCTAGAAACATGATAACAGCAGGCAGAAATGGAGGTGGAGAGGTAGCTGAGAGTGCTACATCTTGATCTTCAGGCTACATGAAGTGAACTGCCTGGCACATTGGGCATAATGTGTGCATTTGAGATAGACCAAAAACATTATACCTGCACTTACACACACCTCCAACTAGTCTACCCCTTACTTCAACAAGACTGCACCTCTTGTAAATGCCATTCCTTATAGATCAAATATTCAAACACATGAGTCTATCCATGCCATAGCTATTCAAACCACCACATTCCACTACCTTGGACCCATTGTCTTGTAACAATAGCACAATGCAAAATGTATGCAGTCAAACTTCAAGTTTCCCCATAGTCTATCACAACAATGACTTGAATTCCAATGTTCAAATTTCTCTTAAGATGAATGAAATCTCTAACTTTATTGAAAAATGAAATGAAAATTAAAAATAAAGGTCACAGCTTTGCTTTATGTCTAGAAGCCACTACAGTCCATAAGCCTAGACAACAAAGAGGACATAGAGACATACATGGATCTACATAGGAAAGAAAAAAGACAAGATCTCCTGAGTAATTGGGAGAATGGGAGTCACGGGAGAGGGTATAAGAGAGGGGAAGGAGGAGATGGGAGTGGATAAAGACGTGTAGTTCAATAAATACAATAAAAAGTAAAAAAAAATCTCAAAATTCACAGTATAGACACTTCTGTTCAAAAGAGGATGAAAGGGGCCCTCCTTTTCACCTGTGAGGTCCTTGGAATCCTGCAACACAGCCTGCTTCAGGGCTGAGGGGACCTAAGAGAGGACAGACCAAGAAAAACTCCCAAGTACTCAGTCAGCCACAGCAAAGATTGGACCAAGACGCCAAGACTCTGCTGGCCTCATTAGAAGAAAGAGATGGGTAGGTACCAATGCAAGAATTCCTCCAACATACTGAAAAACAACATGGTAACACCAGAATCCAGCAAACAAACAACAGGAAGACTTGAACATTCTAACTCAGAAGAAGTAGAAGAAACTGACAATAAACGTAATCTTATGAAAATGATAGACCTTTACACAGGAAGTGAAAAACTTCCTTAAAGAAATGGAAGAGAAGGCAAACAAAAAGTTAGAAAGAATCAATAAATCCCTCAGATACACCAAGAAAACCATGAAAAAGCATTCAAACAGGTAAAGGAAACAGTTTAATACTTATAGACCGAAATAAAGAAAACACAAATCAAGGGAAAGGTGGATATAGAAAATCTGGGTAAATGAACAGGAACTAGAGACAAGTATAACCAACAGAATACAATAGATAGAAGCAAGAATCTCAGATACTGAAGATACTATAGAGGAAATAGACTCATTGATCAAAGAAAACAGCAAATCTAACCAATTCTCAACTCAAAACATCCTGAATATCTGGGACACCATGAGAAGACCAAACCTAAGAGTGACAGGGGTAGAAGAAGGAGAAGAATTACAGCTCAAAGGCCCAGAAAATATGTTCAACAAAATTTTAGAGAAAAACTTTCCCAACGTAAAGAAGAATATCCCTATGAAGGTACAAGAAGCTTACAGAACACAAAGTAGACTGGATCAAAAAAAAAATCCCCTCGCCATATAATAATCAAATCACAAAACATACAAAATAAAGAAAGAATATTAAAAGCTGAAAAGGAAAAAGGTCAAATATCATATAAAGGTAAACCTTTCCGAATTACACCTGACATCTCAATGGAAACTATGAAAGCCTAATGTCTTGGACAGATGTGCTACATATACTAAGAGACCATGGATGCAAGCCCAGACTACTATACCCAGCAAAGCTTTGTTTCACCATTGATGGAGAAAACAAGATATTCCATAACAGAAACAAATTTAGACAATATATATCCACAAATTCAGCCTTACAAAAAGTACTAGAAGTAAAATCACAACTCAAGAAAGCTAACAACACCCACAATAACACATAAATCTAATAATCCTCCACCAATACAACTCAAAGAAGTGAAACACACAAACACTAAAACATAACTGGAGTTAAAAACACTGGTTATTAATATTGCCTAATATTAATGGACTCAATTTACCTATAAAAAGGCACAGGTTAAGAGAATGGATATGAAAACAGGATCCAGCATTCTGCTGTTTACAAGAAACACACCTGAACCACAAAGATAGACACTACCTCAGATTAAAGGGTTGGGAAAAGGCTTTCCAATCAAACAGACCTAAGAAACAAGTGGGTGTGGCTATCCTAATATCTAAGAAAATTGATTTCAAACTAAAATCAATCAGAAGAGATGGAGAAGGACATTTAGTACACATAACAGGAACAATTCATTAAGATAAAGCCTCAATCCTGAATATCTATGCCCCTAATATAAAAGTACCAACATATGTAAAAGAAATATTACTAAAACTCAAATCACACATCAAACCCCATACAATAATAGTAGGAGATTGCAACACTTCTCTCTTGACAATGGAGAGATCAACCAGACAGAAACTTAACAGAGAAATAAAAGAACTAAAAGATGTAGTGAACCAAA